TGAGGGCTTTTCCAAGCAAATATTAATTAACCCCTTAAAATCTCCATGCCACCCTTTGAATATTTCTCTATATACGCCCCTGTTGTATGTAAGGGCTGCCTCTGTCATGTTTAATCTAAAAATATAATTGTCTACAGTCTATTTCCTTTTAAGATAGAGGAAGATGATTCAGTGTGCAGGAAACCTGAAACAGAGTATGAACGCTAATTTTATCCTCTGAGAACAAATTCCCACATCTACATGAATAAAAATCTTCAAATTTAATTTATTCCAACCAATTAGGTCTTTGAAAAAGTTGACATCAGTCTCCTGTTTTATTTTATAATTGTGAAGCTCTAACTACCCCTGCTATTTCAGTTTTATTTCAGTTGTCTGAGCAAATTGGTCCTTTTTTTCTCCACAAATCCTCTGCTTCACCCATTGGCCTTAACTCCCCACCATGCTCAATCCCTTGTTTGGTGGTCATAACTCCCCCCCCCCTTCATTTGGAAGACTTTAATTACAAACTTCAGCCACAAAGGATAGGTTGTCCTTTCATCTCATTTCATTAATCACAGCTTCTAAGGATTTAATCTCACCTCTGTAGCTTAACATTCATAATAAGACCAGAATGCAGGAAGAATACAGCACGGTGTGGGAGATACGGCTGATAATGTCAAAGTAGTTAAAGATTAATCATAACTGAAGATTGATCTTCAGTATAATGGAACTGGAGATCAATATTTGCTCCGTTGTAAATGAAAGTACAGTACATTTCTTTTTTTTAAGTATTATTTTTGGGGCTTTTATTGCTTTATGAATCAGAGATAGACAGGAAGGGGGAAGAAGAAGGGATGCACACGCAGCAAAGGGCCAGGTCGGATTCGAACCCTGGGCCACTGCAGCAAGGACTCAGTACATGTCTTTTTTACTTCATGTACATTGCCTTTAATGATGCAGTTATAACCATCATTATTACTAATATAGATCAATTGCATACAACTGATTGCTCGCATCTTACTGTCTGTCAGGAGCTGGTACTATGCTTGTTTGCTCAAAATTAAGTAAAAGAATGATTGAAAGGGTAGAAGACATTTGGGACACGAAGGAAAGCAGCTCCGGACATGAACCACTCCAAAGTGCATGTGAGAAATAATGAATCTGTTGAAGAAACTCTTACCCTCTGTTTCTGCCTGTGACAAGACGGAGCAGGCCGTAGACTGAAGATCAACGTAGCAGTCGTCCTGCCACATAATGCGCTTGCTTCGGTCCATGATCGAATCATAATGTGCTTTCGTCTCCATGAAAAAGTTTGATCATTTCTGCCCTCAGACGTTCCAGTTTGTGTCTACACAATACAAAACGTCATTATTTACACAACTACCATAAACTTGGAATGAGAGGCTGTGATGAAGGGGGATGAAGAAATTAACTGAGGCTTCAATACCTTCAAAAACTTAATGCTCCAAATGTGAATTTACTATATTGTGTATAAACTCATGCATTTCTGGGTCAGTATTTCTGTTGAAAAGGATATGAAACGTACCAGACAATATCTGCAGTCTACAGAACAATTTGCTCTAAAGCTTTCATTGATATTATTAATATCTATTTTGATTTTCAATGAGGCAGCTTTGATTAACAGATGGATATTTTGCTTTCTGCATACACTGAGAACATATATATTCACTTACTGCACATGACAGCTGCTCTTGTGACGCATTATACTGCTCAACATTGTGGCTATGGCCATCAGGTTAAGGGAGACATATGAAAGTCTCTTTTGTCATTAGCTAAATGTACTGCAGTTCTAGCTTTTTCAAAGCATCAAGCATATTCATATGTAGGCATCTTAATATACATTGCAAATGTCATAGTGCTCTATATGACAAACTGAGACAACAACAAGAAAAATAGAGACATCTGCTCTAGTATGAATTATGTAATAACTGATGTCAGTAACACAAAATAACCTTAGGCCATTTCTGATAAAATTACGCGAGAATTGGTTTTGTCCAAATAGATCATGCCAAAAACACAGCTACTCGTCTGCATGGGATATGTTGATCATGTTGAGCAAACCTGCTATATATTTTTGGGCTGCAGGAACAAGTTGTAAACATTTAAATATCATCACCTTCAGAGCTAATATGTCAAACCTGTTAGCAAACAGCTGTATACACATCCAGCAGTTACGGAGAAACATGATCATTCGTTTAGAGTCGTGTTAGAGTTCAATATTCACTCAGGCAACCCATTTCACAGTATGCCACAGTTTTTTTACAATGTCATTTGACAAACCACTAAGTGTTTTTCTATCACATAAAGATATTTACCGCGGCCCGGCCTTTTCTCTATTATCCATGCTTTCATCTTACTTGTTGTACTGAGCTTGTTATGTCATAAAAGCTACATTTACCAAGTTCCTATGGTAATTGCTCATTTATCTCTTGTCATGCTAAATATGTCAAAAACGTTTTCTTCCTGCTGTAAAACATTTTCCTTTTTTTGACTCATCTTGTCAGTTACATAAATTCATCCAATCAAACGTTATTTGGGATGACAAGCTAACCCTGCCCGTCACATAAAACCATGCTTGACCGATAGCTGTATGTTAGGTGTATGTTTGGATTCCATCTACTTGATTTACATTTAACAGGAATGTGCTTGAGGTCTAATCTAATCCTCCTCCTGGTCTGACAACAAAAGTGAAGGAGGTAATCTCCCACTTTTGAACAACATAATCACAGTTGAACAATTTGATTCAAATCACCCTTGTCATTTAAAAAAAAGACATTAATTGCATTTTGTTTCACTGTAACTTTAAAGGTCTTGCACACCTGCTCAAGTGTTGGCTTATCAGGGTTTTGTTCAGGTTGAAGCAGGGTGGAGTGTACATCATGAATCTTCATTCATAAATCAATAAGTAAAATAAGGTAGTAAGTTGTCACACCTAACAGTTGTACTGGGAGAGCGAAGAGGACGTCACTGTCTGCCCACGCTCAGTTATAAGAGGTCTAATTAGGTTAAGTAAGTAAAAACACATGTGGGG